CTCTCAATGAGGTTTTTCGATTTTTTGATTTAAGAAAAGCAAATCAATACAACACAACAAGAAGTTAATAAATAAAAACCACACAACAATGACTTAAACAAAACAATGACAAGAATCATGAAAAACTTCATATAACAAAGATATTAATTCCCCAAGGAGAATGTAGGACTGCAGTTGTAGGACAGGTTGCAGCTCATTTTATCTAAAAGGTGCATAATACCTGAACCCAGGCTTGCCCACATTAGTGCGAGCAGAGGGAATATCTGAGGTGATCTAGTTACTGGATCGTGTACAATTAACTAGATGGATTGGAAGGTTCTTCAGTAGAGCTTAATAAATGAATAACATGACTGTTTCCTTTTGAGTGTAAGGATATCCATCCAAGTGAGTGATATATGGAAAACAGTGATATAAATGAAATATGTCATTTGTGATAAAAGGCAGTGCACCGTGATACACAGGGTTTAACTGCTGAAGTGTTCATGGGGCAGTATGACGATAGACAATGTCTCCGTAGTCAAGGACGGACATGAAGGCTGCATAAGGGTTTTAGATCGGAAGACAAACAAAAATGATGATGTACAAGAAGTTGATTACTAGTTTGATTTTTATATTTTTTGAGTCAAATGTTGAATATGAGTATCTGTCGTACTGGTGTTAAAAGCCTCATGGACCCAAGCTGCTTACAGTATCAGGCTTTGAACTGTTGAGTTCAACCACAGCTGCTCCTAAACGGAATGAAACCCCCAGTGTCAATAGTCTTGCTTAAGTGACAGTGTCAGTGGTTTGTGCCCTCTGTGATGAGAGGTCAGAGTTGAACAAAAACAAGTCATTACACAGGACTGCTCGCTCATTCCATCGCAAGCACACTCACATAAACAAATGACATCCATACAGATATCTGCTCCAACTCTGGCAACAGTTTCAAGCTGCAATCTCAAGGCATGAGTCTAACTTCTGAAGCTCTGTCTGGTTCTGTTAAAGTAGGGAACATAAGTCAAGACCTGACAGAGGCCCAGCAGCCCATTGTTCCCCGCAGACATCAAGGCATTATTTAAAAAAGCGCTTTGAGTTTTTTCTGCTCGATAACTACAGACGTTCTCAGTCCAGAGTCGTATACATTTTTTCAGTGTCAAGTTATATGGTTCTGGTTTAGTGTGCTCCTCCTCTCTCTTCTGATCATGGGGCTGAAAGCATCACTGGCCACCTTCTATATTCTAAGCATAACAGGTCACACTGGATAACACTGGAGTGGAGGAGTGGAGGTGGAGGGTGGCAGAGAGGACGTCCTCTGGCTATCGTCCCCTCTGAAATTAAAAAGTCCTCTCTGATGACCTGTCAGAGTTCTTTCCAAGAATAGCACCCATTGTGCCAGAGACTTGGACACGTACCAGACCTGCCTCTTGAGTTCGCCTGTACACAAGCGCCTTTGTATTGTTTTTTTTAAGACATCGTTACAGTTAATTTCGCTTTTGGAGGTATTCCAAATGGCTTAAAAAAATTGGGTAAGCAGAACTAGAAGGCATCTGTACGTTCATCCTTTAGGACGCTGTTGTCTCAGTGGACGCGTCTCTCTTTTCCTGGTCCAGGTTTCTGCATCGCATTCCACTGAGAACTGCTTATCAACACATTACAATATCAGCTCACTCAAAGCATTTGTTTTATTATTATTATATTAAATGATTAATTAAAAATAATAGATATGATGGTCAACATGCATTGATAATATATGTATTTTTCATTTTACAGTTGTTTCTACATCCCCAGAACCTCCTATTGATAGTAAGTTGTCTTATTCTCTTTTATATTGTATTTTTATGCATGTCTAAAAAAGTCTCATTCTGAAATTTGATATCCCAGTATCACATTTCTCAATTGTACACAATTTGTCTTAGATGTTTATTGAAAAATAAAATGTGTTTTACCCCATAGAATTTGATAGAATAGATTTAAAATATGTATGTGCTGTTTTTTTTCTAGGCTCTCTGTATGTTCTGGACACTCCAACAGTGGTGGGAATCGCCTTTGCAGCCTTTGTGATTGGGGCTTTGTTGACCGGAGCCCTGTGGTTTATCTACTCCCACACAGGTAGGTCCTTTACCTGCTGCTCCGGGGGGCCCCGGCTCACCTTTCTACATTAATGAAAAGATAAAAAAGTGCAAAGGAATGCTCGAGCATCTCCGTGCCAAAAATGTTTCGCTGGGATTGCCAAACATCCTGCTGCTGACAGGGGTCAGTTCACAATAACATATTCACTTCTTCACTGTAAATATATCCTGTTGGTCAGCAGCAAGAGCTCTCCTCTTTCCTGCCTTTGAATGTTACGGGGGCTGCGGTTGGTCAGCGAATATTCTCAGTACAATGGGCTGGAGACAAGTTGGAAATTCCCCTTGTAGGGTGTAGTGGGCGCTCAGAGGAAAAGACACACAATCTGTCCATTAGATGCCAAGACTTTCCCCCATCATCCCCAGCCTGCCGACCCCGGCCGACCCCTGAGAGGAAGTGCTCTCCCAGCGGCCCAGCGAATTCACCGTTACATAGAGCTGCCCTGTTCTCGCTGGCCTGAGTGTTGACTGGTGCTGCACTATGCTACTGACCTGTGGCCCTGTAGCTGATCTGTTCTCCATGAATGTCTCTCGTAGACCTGGTTGAGTTTAGAGGTCGAGTGTTTCACAAAGTACAACAATGTGAATGTTTAATTTTACACTTTGGAGCGAGGTCACAGTTTGACAATGCTGGATAGTTTCAGTGGTAAATCATTCTCGCTGATAGCTGTGAATTTAGCAGCTATACGGACACTTGTCAAATCTGTTACAAATGTGCATGCTCTTTAAAACTCCTGTCCATGCACAGTCACTTTGTAAAGTGTTTACTGAACATGATTTCATTTAGCAGGAAAGATCAGCTGTCAGATTGTGGTACTCTTATCTTTATCACAATATTGGTTTTGGCTCCTCTTTAGAGAGTCACTTTAGTTAAGCTTTGATGGCGTACAAGAGCTACTAGCCATTAAAAACTACTCAAAATTACAAAAACATTACATGTCAAAAGTGAACATGTACATGGAACAGGTGCAAAGATAGAATTTATGTAAAAAATAATTACACAGGTCCACAGGTCTTTAATACAGACACATGTTCCTGTATGTTATTTTACTAAGCGTAGTGTAGGGTAACTATGGACAGACTTGTTGAGCTGTCTTGGCTGAAGTGACCTTATATGGCGACGTTGGTGGTTCCACATAAACCCCAAGAATGTAGATCCCCAAAACAACCACCAAAAATACCAGTATATTCTAAATCAGTGTCCAGAGAGATGGGACATAAAAAACAGATTTAATTCTATCCCCTCAGGATCTGATGACAATGTTCCTGGGCTCTGGAGAAACTGTTTTAAAGTTCTATATAATCACTGAAATTATATTTGGAATTGTTGTATCCGTCACAGATTAAGTCCATATAAGGCAATTAGAAGCATAGATGCTTTAACAGCAACAAACAGTATTATCTTGACTTATACAACAGGTCTGCACTCTGCCAGGGCTGGAGTTAACTCTGCCAAGAGACCTGCTCAGCTGGTGAAGTAACGTACAGACAGAGGAAAAATTTAACCAATCGTGGAAACAGGCTGGTGTTAAATATCACACATTATCTACTCTACAAACATATGCTGCAAGATATAAAATAATGGTTGTCACACTCTACACAATAGACAGATAAGCTATCTTAACAGAGAAAACAACACGGGCTTCCCTGTTTTAGCCATATCAGCGGCAAGGCTGTACAGATGGCAATGTTAGGTTGTTGGTCTAATACACTGTGAACAAAGATAGACCACACCTCTTCCTGCTATCCACAAATGAAAGCAATCCTGATGACGAAAGCTGCCATCGTTTGCACCAATGACGTCATTTGAAACCAGAGTCTGAGCAGTAGTGACAGGGGGATGGAGCCTGTATCGGTGGGGGCGTATCCCACACAGGACCAATCGCGAGTCAGTCTCAGCTGTCAATCATGATGTTTGACCCCATTTTCATAATAATTAATTAAAAGCAAAATTAATGGGAAAATTAGCAATGGGATATACATCAACGTGGTAAGAGCTACATAAAATGACTACAGAAATATTTGTATTGTGTATTTTGATTTCTTAGTTTGTTCCCTGTCCCACACACTAACATGGAGGAGACAGGGTTTATGACCTTTACTGCAGCCAGCTACTAGGGGGCGATTGGGATGCTTTTGTCATCATGTCGTCCATCTTTATACACAGTCTATGATTGGTCCACGACTTGAGCTGCATGTGTCAACAATCACTGGATGATTTGACGTGTAATTACCCAGAGGATGATCCTCGTTTCCCTCCAGTGCCTACATAAGATGGTGTTTGTAGTTTTTAGTTTCGCGTCTGTAATGGGATTTGCTTGAAGATGAGTTGTAATATATCGTCAGGTTAAACTTTTAATTTGTCCAATACTGCATTTTTGACCTATACCTGTAAAAAAGGAGTTTTCCATCAGCCACAGCTGTACTTTCTATTCATATCAGTGTCACCCAAATGTTTAGCATGATAACATTTGCATCTTTTAGCATGGCTATAGAGCCTACTTTTGTTTTCTCTTATGCTCAGTAAACTGTCTCTGTCTGGTTCTCTCTCACCTTGTGTGAGTTGCTGTAACCTTTTGTCCATGCAAATGTGATTTTTCTCATGGGACGATTTGGTTGAGCACATTTCCCCTGAGCCTTTCCATCTTTGCAGCATGCAAATAATACCTGGAGTCAGATGAGACTGAAATGTGTTATGGTGAGGTGATGGCTGAGAAAGACAAGTGAGAGACAATAGAGGTCCCTCTGTTTTTATAATAGTGAGTTTCAGAAAAGTCACAATCTTTTCAAGGACTTTTGTATCATCTTTCACTTGATTATTGTAAGATATAGTAAATTTGACTGTACTGTTGTGGACAGTGAGATTCTGCGTATGCATTTTTTATTCCCCGTCCAGAGATTAAATTGTCTCTGAAGGATCAACATCTGTTGCCACAACTGGACACAGAGTAATAATGAGTGTGTCCGTGTGACATGCAAAGCTGTCTTTATCTCTTCTATCTAGAAAGTAATATCGGACTTGGGAATATATATTTCCTCAGACTAACGAGGTGAATCCAAGTCCCTTTGTTTTGTAGAGAGCAGGATCCTGCTGGCAGCTCTGCTCTGGTAAACATTAGCAGAACTGAGGGGCCCCAAAGAGGGAGCGGGACATAGGATCTGTGCCTCTGGACACACATATGCTGCTTATCATATCTGCAAGCACAGGAACATACTGTACACACACCAGTTCCAGCAAACACTAAAAACTATTGATAGGAAAATATTTATCTGTGACAGTTTCATTTCTGTGTGCTCTCAAAAGAAGAAACCAGGGAGAGACTACAGGAAAAGTTGTGCCAAAAACTCGGATTAAACACAGACTGGGCCTTATTTAAGACTCCGCCCGTTGTGTATGAGAGACTTTTTTTGAACACAAATGTAAGCACTTTTATTTGCTCCTTGGTTTAAGCATTGGATCCCAAGAGTCTACGAAATGACATGCTTATTTAGACACGGAACAATAAACCAGTCAGTGGTTTGAGCTCCAGTCAGAAAGTCCTTTGTTGTGTTTGTTCTGCTTTATCTTCTAAAGCCAGGCTAATTGATTCCAGAAAACAAAAAGAAATGAACTCCATGAACGGCAAAACTTCCTCCTCTTGTTCTGTCGAACATATCTTCTGTCAAATAGAATGTGACTGGTTGTTTTGGTCTTTGTGAGGTGACATCTTTAGAGTTCCAACATGTGAAAACTGTGCTATGCATTATAAGATGGTAAAAGTGAGGACAGATGCAGTGCAGAGTTCTTGTTTTCACAGTTGCCATGTGCTTTTACTTGAGTAAGAATGAATTGGGGCTTGTAGTAAAGCATTTGTATCTCATTTCAACCTCAGTACAAGGTTTATGTGGGGCACTGACAGTCATAGTAGGCAGCAGATACAAAAACAGTCTTCGTGCAAATTGTAACTCCAAACAAATCGCTTGGTCTTAGTCCTGTCTTACTCATTTATATACATTTTGTCTCTCTCTCCCATTGGTCCAACCCCCCTCCACTCCCCTCTCCTGCTCTGTGTCTAGGTGAGACAGCTGGCACACAGCATGTCCAGAAGTCCCAACCCGCCTCCGAGAACAGCAGCGCGGCTCACAGTATCGGCAGCACGCAAAGTACGCCCTGTTCCAGCAGCAGCACAGCGTAGCCCAGGACACTTCCCCAGCGGGGCGCACGGCCCTGCTGTGGCTCCTTGAAGGGCCCCGGGGGTTCACAGGGACCGTTTGATGATTTCCTTCCATGAAAGGAGTTATTTTTGGAGGGCGTGGTAGGAAGGAAAAAAAAATTGTATAAAGTTTAAAAAAAAAAAAAGAAGAAAACACAATAGCACCTGTAGTTGTTGTGTAAGTCCACTTGTGCCACTTCAAGTGTGTGCAGTCAGATGTACTGTCCTGGTGTGTAAAGGTTCTGAAACTCAGCTCGGCATCACCTCATTTCTAGCACGCAACAAATCTACAAGAAACAAATATGCGCGTATACCAGACATTTCTTTCTAATCCAAATGCTGCTTTTTTTTCTGAGCACAACAGAGCTGTTTTGACCTTAAATGGTTTGATTTAGGCTGTTTGTATCAGGCAGGTGCTCTGCAACAGCAGTGATGCCAGTATTAGTGAGTGAGATGTCGATGGCTGCACTGTTAGACGTTACTTTAGGACATGCAGCACTCAACATGGGAGAGCAGCAAAGCAACCACTATTAACATGTGGACAAAAGTGCAGTATTAGCAGGAGTCATCATCTTGAGCCAAAGAGAGGTAATGGCTTTTAAGAGACGCAGGGCAGAGTAGGTATTGAATGTATACAGAAGAGTAAAAAGCCAAAAAATGTGAAAGAAAAATGTGAAAGTTGTGCTGTTGAATGCCACATTTCATAATGAACTAATTACACTCATCCCTCCCTATCATTGGATTTATACACAGTTTTTCTGTCTGTAAGGTAGTTATAGTTGTAGTTATAGTGCATTTCAGTAGGTGGGAGTCTGAGTCTTAATTTCATACACAAGTTGTTACACAACTTCACAGGGGCATTATCGGTTCCCTTTTATTACAGTCGTTTTTAATGGAAATGTTCAGTAGTTTGGGAAATAATTTTTAAAAGTTAGATGAGTAGATGGATGCCTCTTTCATGTCTAATCATTAAGTGGGGAACTCAGTGCATGAGATGACTAGCCTAACCTAGCATGAAGACTATAGAGCAAACCACTGAGTTCAGCGATCAGTTCAATGTTATGAATGATTTACAGAACAAAACTTCCCCTAAGAGTACATTTTCATTTAAAATTTCTGCCTGTGCATGGAAAGGTATTCATTAATTAGCTTGTGCATTCCGCATGCAGTTTTTAATGCTAAAGTGGCACGTTAATTCACATGCTCTATCTCATGTGTTGAATCTGTAAACAAAAAGAAAAGTAAAAGCTTTGATGTGGTGTTTTTAGGGGGTAACTCATACATTACCTTTTCTTGCAAAATGCTAAGCTACTCTAATCAACTCCCGACTCGGCACCACACTAAACACAGATGTGAGAGTGGCTTTGATCCTGAGAGCAAATAAGCATTTCCCCAAATTATTCTTTTCATATGTGTATATATTTTTTTGTAAATATTGTAAATACTCCAAAATGTCATGAGGCAGAGAGTGAAAAGGATGTTTTTGTGCTTGTGGACTGGACAGTGTAATGTCCAAGTTATCACCGTGTCATATTATATAAGTGATATACCTGTGTTGAATTACAAAAACAAATGGGGGGGGTGTAATTTCTTCAGATTTTATTTTTAATTATTACGTCCTCGCATTGGTGATGTAGTTTGGATTTTCTGTACCAGGGCTGCCACTGAATATTTTTTTCACATTGATCAACAAAGTCTTTGTTTGGTTTAAAAAAAAAAAGCTATCAAATTTAGAAGCTATAAAAGTCAATATTTGGCATTTCCCTTGATAAATGATTACATTTCTACCAATTGATTATTTAGCTCATTGTAGACTTACAGCATCAGACAGAGGCTGAGGGAGAGTAGTTTTTATATAAGGCCAAATGTTCAGTGTTTTATTGTTGTTTTTGTAAATCTTGGCACTGACAGTGTTGAATAAGCTCAAGCTTAAGGTCTTTTTTATGAACATATGTTTGCAGGTGTTCGTCAATCAGCAACACTTGGACTACCACACCGTCTCAGAATAGCATGAATGTTTGCTGCAGTGCCTTCCTTCATTAACCTGCATGTGTTTTTATCAGACTGTGTGTGGGACTAACCTGTAACGATTTAACCAACAAGAAAAGCAGAATGTATGCTATCTCAAAGCTTTTGAACCTATTTTTTCTTTTCATATGTATAAACATGTATAAAGCTTTCTACAGAGGGAACAGAGTATAAAGATATAGATATATATATATGTGTGTATAAAATTATATTTTGGAATATATATATATATATACCAAGAGAAATTTATTGTTTTCTATGTGTGTTAAGTACTGTGAATTGTGGATGTGCTCATACATAAGACTTTATGATTTGCATAGATCATAAATAAATGCCCTGCGCCATGTTTTATGACACTTTGACAAATAATAAAAATTCAATTTAAAATTATTGAGCTCTTTAAAATATGATTCACTGTCTGATGGAAAAGTCTAAACCTCATCACTATTTGTAAGTCTGAGAAATAACTTTTTCAAATGTAACCTTTGAAACTTTATTCAACAATGTGTCATAACACACACCATGGGTTTATAATGAATGCTACATATAAATATATTATTTCTTCTGCACATGGAAGAAATATTTCATCTAATTTTCGCACTTGACAATAATGTTTCATGAAGCTGTTGCGTATTGATTACTATTTTGTATAAATCATGTTTTTACTCCAATATTTTTTTATGAAGTAAATAAATTGGATGTTGAAATTATACATTTGGATCACAAGATCTAAGATATCAGTTGATATCTTTGGAGATAAGCCGTAATAATGACTATTCTTATCATAACATTTTGTCAGGTTCCCACTGTAAAACCCAAATCAATCCCCTCTTTTCTTCCTCCCATTCTCATAATCAGTAACACATATCCCCATTGACATTATGAAAAATACTTTAATCAAAGCTGGACCACTAATGGCAGCAGGGAAATCACGTATGAAATAAGAGCGAGGATTAGGTAATAAATGTGGTTGTGCTCAGTTCGACTGGAGAAAATTCAACCTTCCCTTATTTTGTTTCTGGAAACTCAGTTGTTTTCACTAACACTTGAGAAATAACTTAAGTTCTATTAGAACCACTTGGTCTCGGGGCAACATTAGACCTTGTTTGTTTTGTCGGGCCTCGGGCCAGGAGGGTCTCAGTTAGCTCACTCATACAGTGACTACGCAGCAACGACATGTTGCAGCATTATTGTGAACAACATTGTATCCCACTGTACACAGAGCATACTCTCCACGGCCATTGTGGGTTTAAGGTTTTCTGACATTCCTGTAGTTTTGCGGTTTCTCTTATCGACTGTGGCGAATCCGTCTCCCTCGTATGTAATTACCCTCCTCACTCCCACCCACCCTGTGTTTCACGCCGTTCAGCTGCTGAGCCTCCGAGTTATGCCCTGGATATAATCATCTAATTTGAGATCATTTCTAGATATTCCTTCACTCAAACTAATTATAAGACGTCAACATTCCTCCTCCTTCTCTATTACCCCAGTGCATGCTGGGTAAACCACTTTCCCCTCGTAGTAGAGAATGAGTATAAGCAGTTACATGCTGTCAACATGAAACAATGATGCTGTATCACACTAGAGTCCCACTCACGGTCGATGCCGATCTGACAGCTGTAATCAGGGGACAAATCCATTGGTCTAGTCATTGATTGTATTTGTTAAACCATTTGACTACCTCATGTGTTTTTCTATGAATGTGTCATTTGTGTGTTTGTATGTGTGCGAGTGTTTTCCTTGCCTGTGTGTGAACTTGAGAGAAGTTGAAACTCTTATAGACCATACTTCAGTTTTATGATTTCGGGGCCCCTACATTGTTTTACTGCAGTCCACATGTGATTTTTATTTCTCAAAGTAAACAATGAAGTGTTCCATGTTTCCCATGATGGTGATAGGGGGCTTTGTAAATGTGTAGAACTTTTGTCAGCGGTAATTGTTTCATTTGGAGTTTGAAAACTTTTTAAATGCTGTAAATATGCATGATATTTGTATACCCCATTTTGTTCAATAAATTCTCATGATAATCCACGAGACTGTTGGTCTGAAGGTTTCTCTGCCGCTGTGTGAGGGCGCCGTGTGGACACCTCCTGTACGGGTTTGGTTGAGAACAATGAGCTGTAATAATGATGTGTTGGGCTTGGCTCCGCTGCGGTGAAGTCATGACTCGTCTCTGGTGAGCTCATAAATGATACAGACCATGTGGGCCCCTGGCTGGAGGTTTTTCGGTGGGAGACCACTGAGATGAGGGTCCCCACCTCATCCCCCTCCCCACTGGTATCTTTGCTTTTGATTAGAGCTCCCTGGAGATGGCGGTGAGCAGCAGGCTTCCGAGTGCATTGGAAACCTCTGTGATTATAGTATGAGAGGAGGAGGCGAAGGGCGAATGATGAAGCGGCCTCTCAGTATCCCAGGTTCAAGGTGACTGGTCCACATGTCCCACATCCCACTGACCCCTCTGTGGCCTTTGTGATGTCACATCTGTATCTTCATCTTTCCCACACTGTCCTCGCTGAGGCGTCCCCAGGCAGCGAGGCTCTCTCCAGCTGGCGTTTATTGAATTCTTGAATGCTCATCCACCTCATCAGGCTGTAGATCATGATGTAAATATTTTCATTTCCAGCTTCGCCCTCTGGGTACCTGGAACACACATTTGTTGTTCTGCAGATAATCCATTTAGTCACTGATTGCACATGTCCCAGACAATAGTGCATGACAAAGACAGACTCAGTTAAGTCACTGACTCTGAGGAGAGCTGGATTAATCTAGACCAGACCTTTGTTTCTAAACATGATTATTTGAATTAAGTTAAGTGGCGATGTTAAGTGAGATGCTCTGGAACTTTGTTGGCTGCAGAGTGGATGAGACCAGATTCACAGGCCGTGTTACCTCCCCTCACAGAACCTCTTCATTTCCCAAGGCAAATAAATAAGCCATAATGTGGCTGGAAGAAGAATAGCACATAGGCTTCCCCTGCACACACAAGAAGGTATTTAAAACAGATCGCTTATCTTGTGTAGCTCCATAAAACACACATACAAAGCAAGAACTCAATAGAAAACTAAGAAATATAAACAGGAAACAAGGAAAACAGACAAGTGAACACAATAGAAAGATATAGAGAGTATAATAAGAGGATACGATAATACAATCCAAAGCAAGAATAGATGCATTTTGGTTATAGAAAAACAAACATTCATTAGCCAAGCTCTCTTTCGATTATAAGAGTTGCTAAAAAATAGTAAAAGCTATGAAGGATCAATCAGAAAACCCTAACCTCTAGTGCATCAATAATAATGATAATAATCAAACCAGATATAAATCAGGAATTTAAGGCTTCACTATAAGTTATGATTTACAATCTGGTTAAATGCTAAAAAGTATTTTCTCCTCAGGCAGGAGTTTCAGAGCCTCGGGGCCCTGATGGCAAATACTCAGTCACCATTCGTTACGAGCCTTGACTTGGACCCAATTAGCATCTGTGCCCTGATGACAGCAGCAGAGGCTCATGGGAATTGTGGTTCTGTTTGAGAACACAGAACATTTGTAAAGGTGGCTCTTGCTTATAGTCAAGTGCAGATCTGGTCTCCACAACTGGGAAGAACATCTGGTTCTTCAGCTGCTGGATGAGTCTCATGATGTTTTAACTGAAAACAAACGTGGAGCTGAAAGAGGCTGAAACGCTCCTCAGAGATTGTGGTGTGATAATTTCTGCCTCCTCATTTCAACCATTGTTAATATGAAACATACAGATTATTGGTGCTTTGATAGTTTTCCAGAGGCTAATTAAGGATTCCCAGCAGTCACACGCATGAATCTGATGTTCAGTGGTATTCTAAGGATTTTAAGTATCATTCATCTCGGCCTCAAATATGAGTTCCATCAACTTAAACATATTGAGCGATAGACGATCCTGTCTGGTTCCAGCTAACATACTTTTCCTGTTGTTTAGGGAGTTTATCTTCATCTGTTCTTAAACTGTAGCCCCTCACTGAGGTATGCTAACTTTAGCCTCACAGCTGGTTCCTATGCTGCACAAAAATATGACTACGCTACGATTCATATTGCAGCCAGAATCCATAAAACCGTCTCATTTCGCTGACTTGCAAACTCTGTTTTGATTGTGGCACATGGGTGCTGCATGTGTGTATTTTTTTAGAGATTTGAGGCCCTCCTACTTATTGCTGGAAAACACTGAAGTGTTTCCAGTTGGAAGAAAAGGGGAAAAAAATTCCCTGTAGCCTAAAGTTACTCGACTCATAATAAAAAGTTCAATCATAACCAGTATTTTACCACAAACCTCCCGATCAATTCATGTTGAAGGACTTTTTTTTTCCTGTGTTCCCTTTTTTCTTCGTATCCAGCACTGCACAGTACACACACACACACACACACACACACACACACAAACAAACAGGCTCCCTCCCCCATGTATAATTTCACTGAGTGATTTGCTGCCCAGGCCACAAAATCCAAACTGCAAACATAAACAAACTGGTAAAACTGAGCCAGCTTTACTCTCCCTGTTCATTCTGTTTGCACAAACCGTCTTATCTGAGAAAGCTGCTCTATATCTGCTCCTCAAATGGAGCACTTCAGCCACCACACAATTAAAACTGAGGCCGAC